AGGTTGTGTATGCTTATATTATGTAGCCATGCAATTAAATATTATTTTATAGCTTGCATACACAGCATGTTGGTAGTCTCACAACCATAACCATATTAACACACAAGTAGATAGTCCACAACCTATTTCACTAGTTATTGAAATGCTTACTGTACCTGCTGCATGTCTGTATAAATAAATTGTGGAAAATCTGCACTAAATTATGGAGTATTTAGTGATGCACTAACAGCTTACCCTCTTATTTGTCTTAAAAAATATACAATATAAATAGGTTTTATAAGATTCTCAAGCTAGGACAGGCTTAAATAAAAAACTCACTTTTGATAATCACCAGGTCAAGTATTATACAAAGACTTACCGGTTTCATAAAACATACGTCTTATGCTGTAAATATTCCAGGTAGAATCAGGATCTGTGCCATCGATCAAACTTTAATTTATCCTCTTGTTTGATGGCCAAACACAACTATTTTTTCTAGGAGTCGACCATTGTTGTCGAATAACGCCTACGCCGCCATCATCAAACTCTACCACCTTACATTATGTATTATTAATATCGTTATATCTATATAAATAAAAAACGAAGTTGATTAACACTATGATAGGTACATATTTCGGCAAATTCAAATGTTAATTTGTTATATAATGATTTGAAACAAGGGGAATCAACAAAAACTTACGCGGTTCAAACGTAGACATCAAACAATCGGCGGTTGTGCAGTGTTGCCGCTAGTCACCCAAGAAAAGTCCGAAACTGATTCGAAAATTACCCAAATTTACCCGTAATGTTAATTTTTTAACCAACTGTAAAAAAGATGGTTTATTTTTTTATTATTTGAAAAAAAAAAACGATTTATTTTTACATACGATACGTTTATAAAAATTAACAGAACTTATTGTGATATTATTTGTTTTTAGGACCGATTTATATCTTCCAAAAAGGTGATCTAAACTTTATTACTTATTTGATATAAAAGAACAGGATATATAAAAAAAATACCAGTTTGGTCTTTTTTTACATTAAGTAAAAATTGTTTTGACAAAATACAGAGTCATTATTTATTAAAATCACAATAGATAGAGAAAGAGAACAACAGCACATGTTAATGTCACACACGCCACACATTGTACTGCTATACTATTCGGTCCAGTTAACATGATGCCTGAGCGCAACTAGGGGCCTACTGTATTTCCTTGAAATAGAGCGTGAAATTGAAAATAATTTCTATTTGACAGGTCAATATAGTGATTTCATTATATAACAAAGAGGTTGAATTATAGGCATAGCATGGCATGTAGTACTGATTATTACCGAGGTAATCGATTCTAATACTGAATTTAATATTTTAGCATTAACAATGCTTTTTTATAATTTTGTATCATGTTTATACACGTTAGATTTATTTCGATAAATTTTTGAAAATCTTGTTAAATCAATTATATTATAGACTAACTTGCCCGTGATTTCACTCCCGTAGTTAGGATTTTGTGTCAACACGATTTTTCCCGCGTAAATCCCGAACCCGCTTGAATTTGGGGTAAAAAGTAATAAAAACTATCTTCCAGTGAAAGTAACATCAAAATCAGTTCAGTCATTCCGGAGATTACCCCTTAGAAACAGAAAGACAGAACTTTTTATACTTTCGAATGATATTATGTAATGTTTTTAATCTAAGTATGCTGTAATTCTCAAACAAAGCAATTTTTATAGATTACCCCCAAAAACACAATATGTGTTGGTAAAGCACAATATGGTAGTACTGTTGTATAATGAAAATTAGATCGTACAAAGGTGTCAAATTGTGTTATGTCAGAAAAATCTCTAGAGTAAGTAATAAGTAATACCTTAATATTTTATTTGTTGGATATTTTCTCAAGTGAATTCTCATTACATAACATTCTTTAAATATATGCATATATATTTTGACATTTTCTCTGATGCTGAGAATATAGTCCAAATTGGGAGAACGTCCTTACATCTAGCAACATTAGCTAAATCAAAAATAAGATTCCAAGCCAAGAATAAACTATTAAAAAAAAAAAACAAAAATAAGATGGCGCCTCTTTGAGCCTTTGTTGGCGTTTTCGGTTGGGAGTCGTTGAGATATTATTAAAATATTAGATAGGGCCCTCATCAGATATCTGTATTAACTTTTTCTTAAAAATCTAACTCAAACTGTGGTAGGATGGGGTACTATGTTTGGGACATTCTTTGCATTTTCAGCAGGGATATTAATAAAAATACTGCAGTTGGGCTCAAACCAATTTTTATGAAAGAAGATGGGCCAAGGACGGCACTACATAAATATTAAAAAGTGCTACGAAGATAATAATCACAATAAAACTAAAAAAAAATATAATGAATTATCAACTTTAAATAAAATAATTATACCTCCGGAAAAAAAAATGGTTTATTAATTAGTTTAATCCGCAAAATATGAAATGATAAAACTTGATTTTTCAGAAGTATTTTTATATAAGAGGTTTACAAGATAAAAGAAGAATAAAATAATAAGAAGTCTGTCTGTAAAGTTTTGTGCATGTTCACAAATATTAATTTTAGTACTAAACTCAAAACTAAAGTCGTGGTAGGGGTTAGTTTGAAAATTAATAAGGTTTTTCAGTTGGGATATTAAGAAAAATACTATGGTTGGACTTACGCCTGATTTTGTATGGAATTTTCGTTACAATACTAACTAGTAAAAGTAAGGCCTAGTTTGAAAATAAGTAAGACTTTTCAGTTGGCATATTATCAAAATACTGTGGTTGATCTCACGGCAGATTTTTGTGTGGGATTTTTGTTAGGATTCCGGCTAAAAGTCGTGGTAGGGCCTAGTTTGAAAAAAAGTAGGGCTTTTTAGTTGGGATACTAATAAAAATAGCGTGGTTGGTCTTACGATATATTTTCTATGGAATTTTTGTTAAAATTTCTGCTTCAACTCATGGTAGGGCCTAGTTTGAAAATTAGTAGGACTTTTCAGTTGGCATACGATCAAAATGCTTTGGTTGGGCTCATGGAAGATTTTTATGTGGAACTTTTGTTAGGATTCCAACTAAAAGTTGTAGTAGGGCCCAGGTTAAAACTATGTAGGGCTTTTCAGTTGGGATATTAATAAAAATACTATGGTTGGGCTTATGCCTGATTTTGTATGGAATGTTCGTTACAATACCAACTAAAAGTAATGGTAGGGCCTAGTTTGAAAATAAGTAAGAATTTTCAGTTGGCATATTATCAAAATACTGTGGTTGGGCTTACGGCAGATTTTTGTGTGGAACTTTTGTTAGGATTCCAACTAAAGGTCATGGTAGGGCCCAGGTTGAAAATTTGTAGGGCTTTTCAGTTGGGATATTAATAAAAATACTATGGTTGGGCTTACGCCTGATTTTGTATGGAATGTTCGTAACAATACCAACTAAAAGTAGTGGTAGGGCCTAGTTTGAAAATAAGTAAGAATTTTCAGTTGGCATATTATCAAAATACTGTGGTTGGGCTCACGGCAGATTTTTGTGTGGAACTTTTGTTAGGATTCCAACTAAAAGTCATGGTAGGGCCCAGGTTGAAAATTTGTAGGGCTTTTCAGTTGGGATATTAATAAAAATACTATGGTTGGGCTTACGCCTGATTTTGTATGGAATGTTCGTAACAATACCAACTAAAAGTAGTGGTAGGGCCTAGTTTGAAAATAAGTAAGAATTTTCGGTTGGCATATTATTAAAATACTGTGGTTGGGCTCACGGCAGATTTTTGTGTGGAACTTTTGTTAGGATTCCAACTAAAAGTCGTGGTAGGGCCCAGGTTGAAAATTTGTAGGGCTTTTCAGTTGGGATATGAATGAAAAACTATGGTAGGGCCAATATAACATTTTGGTATGGCATTTAAGATGGCAACCCAACCAAAAATCATAGTAGGTCCTTCGTTGGGTTAACGTGAGAAATATTTGTGAGAAAAAATAACAATAAATGACAGTAGGGCCATAGTTGGATGTGCGTATGGTATTTTTTCCTGCAATAAAACTGTTGGCAGATAGTTGGAACTCTGTAATAAATCTCACTAACGTTTTCCCAACTTGTTCCCGACCGTATTGCACGGTTGGCCAACCCAAAATGCTACTAGGGATGCTAGTGTTAGGTATTTTATTAGCAGTAGAGTTAGAATTTACATAAATACTTGTATTTAGTTGTAAAAAATATGACTTGAGTCAAAGAGCTTCAGTATTAGGTATGTCATGCTAATCTGTATGAAAGAATGTTATGTTATTTCTGATAAAAGTGATGCTGTAGGTGAAGGTGATTAAGGATGTTTATCGATTACGAACTATAAATTAAATTAGTTTGTTATAAAATTCTTAGGAAAATGTAGCTCTATCTCTTGTACTATAAGGATATAACATTCTTAATTTCGTTGTATTTGTTTTCAGATGTGAATTGTGGGCTAAATAAATTTTCCACAAAGGACGGAATTCATCAACAGAATTCCAAATGAAATTGTACACCGAACATATTGTAGAATGCTGTGTCAAAATAATTTTCTTGATAATTTGGTGCATACATTAAAATAATGCTGAAGGCTTGTAAATCAGTGTTAAAGTTAAAAACCAAACAGTATGTTCAAAATTCACTTAATTTGTGTAATAAAGCGGTATGTTACAATAATAATGAAAATAAAGTGTGTTATTATAATCTGCTTGTATTATATTCCCTTTTTGAAGTAGTCCCTATATTTCACCTACATTAACTACCAAATTACTAAAACCTGTGCTCCCTGTGGATGTTTTTCGTTTGTGGAATTTGTGTATGTTATGGATTTCGTATACGAAAAATATTCACAGAAAACACTGGTTTTAGTAATTTGATAGTTAATATGAAACCTAAGTATAAAGTTAGTATTTAAACTTCCCGTCATACTACTTGTTCCGGAGGGCTGACTATAGGTGGCGCTAGTTTTTATGGAAAATATTTTTCTGTGAAGTTGGCATTCTTCTCGTAGAGTACTTTTGTTCTGTGTGGCAGTGGCAGCCGCAGCGCAGGTTCCTTTTGGTAATATTATATTTCTCTATGAACGCAGGCCCGCAGTTTCAAAGAGTAGCGCAGTTTGTTTTGGATCTGCCGCTTTAAACTCTGTTGGGAGTTACAATATAACTTTTCGCGCTTATTACTAAAAAAACGACCTCTGTGATAGCAGTAAAGCAATAAGAAATGTGTTTGTGTTATTTGAAACTGTTAGAATGTTTCGTACAGTGGTAAGGTTAACGCCGTCTTTTCTTATGCCTATATTTAGGAGTCGTAATAACAACGACAATGATTTACTCAACAAAAATGAAGACGCTTCTAATAGTGGCTGGGAAAGGGTAAAAAAGATGTATACTAGGAAGTAAGTACGATATAACCTAATATTTATCACTGAAATTGCATTCATGAGGACTTTCCTAACCAAAAATTCTAGTTTAATCTAAAATCATGACTTGTTAGGACGTAATGAATATGAATAGATACTATAAATATTCAATTGATACCTACAGTATAACTGGTAATTTGTATCCTTATTCAATAACTCTTATGTTTTGTAAACCATTTTACAGAGAGAATATTGTTGAGAAATAGTCAAAATAGCAGTGTCTTTATTGTATTTAAAGTAAAAAAAGTCATAAGTAGGTAAAAGTAAAAAGTCAAATTACATCTGCTATTTGTGCTGTAGCACTGAGTGTGCTTTAGTTTGTTTATAATACTATAAGTAAGGTACTTAACTTTCTAGATGTTCTGGAAATTTCAGTGACAGAATTTTAGTATTCAGAACTGTAACATTGAGAAAACACAACAAAACAATATGTCAAAGAAATTTCTGATTTTATGCATATCCTTTATCCAAAATATAGTTTTTTTTTTTTAAGAAAAATTTACTTGTATTCTGAAAGCATTTAATAATTTTGTAGACTATAACCTTTTTAAATATTTTTATAGTGAGTTTGAAGAAGTATCATTTGAATTACACAATGTAATACAATCAGCGTGTTGTGGAGCATTTGTTGGTGCATGTTTTGGAGGGTTTGTCAAATCAAGAAATGCATATCTGTATTTTATAGAAAATAACCAGGCAACAATATTCAAATCTACTACTGATGCAAAGGTATACTATTTATGATTCTATTTAAAATTCAGAAAATTTCAAATCATTCTACTAATTTTGTTGGAATCATATCTGTGTAGATTATCTGTGCATCAGAGGCAACATCAAGTCCTAGCTCCATTGCATCAAAAATTACCAAAAAATTCTGTCATATTAGTATTTTAAAAATAAGACAACTTTGTACAAATGAGGGAATATGCCTAACTTTCTTTTTACCAGTTGACTGGAGAGCTAAATATAGATTTGGCTGCCCATTGAAAGGACAATAAATCGTTAAATCAACAAATCTTATGTTTGTTATTTGATTTGTTTCAGAAAAAACTGCAAGATCATGTAACAATAGCCTTTGCCAAAGGTGCATACACTTATGGTTGGAGATTAGCAATATTTACTGGACTGTTTAGGTAAAAAAAAATCATCAACCCATTCCTGTTTTCTGTCTGTGATTTTGCCCACGTTCTCCGGTATTAACATACCTTCTTTTTGAATCATTCTGTACATTGATGAAATAGCATTAAATCCATTGTGTAGTTTGAAAGATCTCAGCATACAGACAGCGCAAAAAAAGCTACTTTGTTCTATAATGTAATGATATATACAAGTAGATTATTTTGATCTCAATATTATCAATTTCCCTACTGTAGCTTTTTTGTTTTTTAGGAAAATGTACTTTTCAGGAAACTAAATATTTTATGTGGCCTAAAAGAAGCAAAATCCACTTTTAATTAAATTGACAATGAATTGCCTATTATCATGAAAAAGGTGCAAATAGGGGATGAGAGTTGACATTGATAACTATGTTGCAGGTAAAATTTGTATAAATTTTTTTCTGTTACAGTTTAATAGCTACCACAATATCAGTTTATAAAGATGAAACTAGTTTAGTCGAATATATTACTGCTGGCGCGTTAACTGGAGCTCTTTATAAAGCAAACTTAGGCTTAGCTGCTACATTTGTTGGAGCAGGACTCGGTAATATATTTTGGTTACATTTTTTTTCATGCATAATTCTTTTTATCATCAGTTTTCCTTATTTAAATGATTGATATGTTGATTTGCCAGGTGCTGTGTTAAGTGCGATAGCAGGTTTAGCAATTTTAGGTTTATTAAAAGTCACTGGAATTACTATGCAGGACATTAGAAGAGCTATGTACAGAATCAAAGAAGCAAGGTAAATGTTTATCTTTTGTTATATAATTTTTCTGTATAAGTTTTTTTTGATTCAACAAAAATATTAATCAAGAGATCCTCTAACATTTTGTACAATTTTATTTTATATATAAACTTATTAACATATCTTATTAATAAAGTTATTTATGTTATTTTTTCATAAAAATATTAAATGGCTAACGGCATATTTATATTGGTTGATTAGTTTCGCATGTGGGATGCAGGTGATTTCGGAAATCACTGCACACCGCATGACGCTCATGACTAATAATGAATCCAAGTCTGTAGTCTTTATAAAAATATATCTTACTATAGAACGATCGACGAACAGAGAATTTCATACAATGATCCGGGATTACTTATCTTTCTCTCGTGCGGAAACGTTGCTATTGCACTCGCACAGATTCATCTAGCCAATTTTGTCATAGTAAAGTGTACCTTAAATGGGATATCTATTGTATGAAGTTCTTTCTGTTCGACGACCATGTCATGTCTATAATATTGTCAATTTTCTTGTTTCAGACAAGACCAGTACAACCAAGCATTGGAAAAGTCAGCAAAAATTAAAAACGACGAACTCACGATGCACCACGACTCTTTAGTAGCAATGAAAGGAGAAAAGAATGTAGGAGAATTAGTAGATTAATTCCAATGTCTTTCTTAAGAAATGATTTCATTAACCAGTAGAGGTGCTACTGTAGATGTTATAAAGGATATATTCTATCTAGATTCACTATTTATGAGTTTCTTTTGAAAGGAAAATATTAATTTATTTACTTTAACTTTTACAATGAGTGGACTAGAGACTCTTTCTTCTTTGCCATGTTAATTGAGACTCACAATGTTTACTCAATAAATTATTCAAATAATAATTGTCATTTTGTTTAACTAAATGGTGTTAATCAAGCAGGGTAATAAAAAATCTGTCTGCATTTTTATTGTTATAAAAATTGAATGTAATCATTTAAAAGGAGGTTTAACTGCTTTGCTCGGTGATCACCAAATAGCTAATAATCATTATTTTGTTTTAAGGTAGTAAATCAATATACTTATTTAATTACGTTATGTAATTATTGTGTTTTTTATTATCCTGAAATGGCACAGTAGCTATATTCTGCAAATGAAGATTACGCCTATATTATAAGTACCCAGGGTCGATGCAAAATGACGGAAGATCCCTTGAACGTCTCATGGAAGTATCATTCGTCAAGTATGCAAAATAATTGTCATATTCTTGACTTACATCACAATTAATTTTGCATACTTGACGAAGTTGGGTTGGCTGGAGTAAGTCGGCCAACTTTTTAAGCACGATGGACCAATTAGATTTGAGTGCGAAAAATTGGAACCTTGACTCTTAATTAATTGGCAGATTGTTCTAGGGGAGGCAAGTGGGGGCGCTTTTCCCGGGCGCCAGCGTCAGGAGGGGGGTGAGTGGATTCGAATTCGGGTTCGGATTTTACAAAATCGCTTAGCTGGCGACCGCGGTAAGGAAATTGCTCGTTTTCGACTTTAGCGGTCAAATCGCTTATTTCAATTTATGTTTGATATGAGTTCCCTAGTATGAAATATTTATTTCGTTCGTTGCCCGCGGGGGAGTTGGTTATGGAGAATTATTAAGTGTGGCTTGTAAAGTTACAAGAGTTCTTAACTGTAGAAAAATAACTTCTATAATGTAAGTATTTCTATCAAGTCGCGCGGTGACGATCCAGTTTCATATAGACCTGTCCTAAAAATAGGGATGACGACTAGTTTGTTTGTTTGTCCGTTAGGTAGTGTTAAAAAATATTATACACGTATTTTTTTTTTCGTAATCATTAAATTACGGCTTTACATGGACTTAAAATTTCGCATGACGTCACGTTATGGTACGTTTTCTACTAAACTGTGACGTAGCGAGCCCCCACTCCTCAACTTTAATGCCTGTTATCTTAGCTATTTCTTGTTAAATTGAAGTAAAAAAAAACACGTATCTAATATTTTTCTGTTTCTGACTCTTGACTCGACTCTTGGCTCGTCGGGTCCTATCGACTATGGGATCATTTACACGACGAAGCATGAATTAGAACAGTTTCTAATTTAGTTAATGTAAGCGTAATTATGGAAAGTCAATACCGCTTCGATTACAACACCGTTCGGTCAGTTGCACAAAAGTCCGTTAAGGTTTAATGACTCCTTTAAGCTCTAATGAATGTCAAATGTATATGGGTTATGTCACTTTACACTAATGTAAATTTTAATGGACTTTTGAGCAACGGTGTTTTTATTTCACAGTTCTTGTATTAGATCAGAAAATTTTGGGAGTTCGGGTAGACAAAATGCAAGTTGAGATTATATTTAAATGTGATTACGTAAATGATAAATGGTTTTGTAGGTCTTAATTATCGGATGTAAATAAAAAGCAACTTTTTTGTATCAAAGCATAGTATTGATATTGTTAAAAACATAGTCATTTACAATCATGGTATTGGGTAATCTAATTACATATAAAAATAGAGTGGAATATTTACATCATTCAACATTTTTGTGCATAGATTTTTCAAATTTCATGCTCCGATAATAATGATGGCAAGAATTTTTAAACATAAGAAAATATTCTTATAAAGTTCACACCAAGAGTGTTACCATTACGGGATAATTCTACTACATATATATGTATAACTCACTGTAATTTCATAATTCCCTTAAAAGTTCATAACTTTTCTTTCGTATGAACAAATACCCGTTGCACTTAGCTGTCCATAAAGTTTTATTGGTTTAAAGCGATATTATCGAAACATTTTTTTTTTAAATCGACCGTTTATGAGATTTCAAAGTCGTAATTAAACCTTTATTAACGTTTGTGCAACTGGGCGTTTAACATTAAAAGCAAGTTTGTTTTTTGATGTCATAGTTCATTCTTTAACACAAATTGGAATTATATTATAGTTCACAGATTGTTAGACAAAAATTGTCGTTTAATGTTTCTATAATATTAGTAATTTGGCAAAAATTAAGCAAATATGCAAAATTAAGAACAACAAACATTTTTATGGCGACTCTCATAAATATATATATATAATATACATTGCTTATTTCAATAAAAATATTCAATTCAAGACGAACGATAAGTTTCATTTAGTTTCCATTTATATATTTTTGACAGAAAGCAGTGCGTTATTTGGTAACACTCCTCCTTAGATATTTTGTTAGATGGCAAGGTAAATATTATAGAATTACACGTCAATATAAAAGTTGTCTATGTTACAGATATTATAATGCAATAAAAGAGTATATACACAATTTTTTTAATAGTAAAACATGTGTAAATACACCTGTTTAATACATTTAAACTGGAATAATACGCCGACTAAGAAATAATGTTATAACCTACAATAATAATGCTGTCTGTAATACTCTTTTATATGACACTACATTAAAGTGAATATTTCATGACAGTTCGATGAATTTGTAAAAAGTCTGAATATAAATCAAAAAACACTTACATTAAAAAGCTATACAATATTTGTATAATAATTACTTATATTAAAACGACTAATGATTTATATAGTTCATAACTTATATATTGATGACGCCATGTTATTTATTAATATTATTAAATAATATTGCACAGAGTAATCCATAAATAATAAAATTCCTTATATTTTGTCTGCAGGATTTGTTTTGACGCCATGTGTATGCGCCATTTTTATAGTTGTATAAATTAGAAACAAACTTTAAAAATAACGGTCATTATTCTCGTTTTCGTTTTCATTTAGTTTGCGTTGACTAAACTAGGTTATATTGTTTTTGCTATGACCTTTTCGGTGTAATGAAAAATTAAATAAAAACAAATGCACATCAGTAATGACCAGAGGTCGGAATTAGGTAGAGTTATTTATGTACTTGCATCGAAATGTTGATATTAATGTGGACCTTCGTGGCAACATCGCGCGTATTGGTATTTTGCAACTTTGGACATCCGATGTCATTGATGAAAGTTTGGCAACGTCGTGCGTGCAGTAGTTTAAATTGTGTAAAAGTAAATAACTTTTTATTTAAAAAATCAGACTTTTTCTGCTCTTTAAAATTAATCTCGGGATTTGAGGCATATCCACTTTATTCTTTCGCTGTATGAAATCAGTGTAAGTACATGAATAACTCTACCTAATTCCGACCACTGGTAATTACGGCAACACATAATCAATATCATTTTTTTATAAACATGACAGATTTCATACCATTGCTATATTTTCTAGAATATAATTAGTCCTGTACATATACTAACATTGGTGTCTACTCAATACTGATCCTTTGCGTTTGATACAAGCAAGTTTAAAAATGTTATATTAGCTCATTTAAAAAAAGCAGTCCGTTAAAAATGACGCTACAGGCAAAGGAATACATTAATTGAACCTTATAAAAAAGTTCTTAGAAATGTATATTGTGTCTGTACATTCATGGAATCTACGTATCTGCTAATAGCTAAATCGATATATTGAGCATTTAGGACGCAAATATAACGTTTATTATTTAATAATTACGGTAGCAGTCGCAATCGCTATGTGTCTACAGTTTAATTATTTTATTTATAGTCTCAGTCAAATTATTATGCTAATTATAATTTTCAAAACAGTTTTTGTTACATTGCGCAGCACTGGCGGAAGTATCCTTAAAACTAATATTTAAGAGCATTTAGAATTTAAAATTACACTTCTGTACGATAAAACGCAACAGAGTGAAGATTTATTAGTAGGTACTCAAATCGCAACAAAATGTCTACTTATATTTTAAATACCTATTATTTTAAGCAGATACCTGAAATTACTGAAGATGAAATATAAACATGTTTATGTTGAACGTGTACTGCATTGTCATAATTTATGTGAAAATGGCTTCTTCTATTTGGCTCCAGAAATAATTTTCTACCTTTAAATCATATTAGCGGAATTTATTAAAACTTACAATCGTATCTCTAACCGAGAAGTAATTACTTGAGAAAATTTAATGAATTAAGGAAATATTTTTAACCAATAGACGAGAATTTGAATGAAGTAAGAACTGTTAATAGCTAATTATAATGTATTCTTAATAAAAAATCCACTTTGTCCCATCACAGTCCAGGGACAAAGTGAATTTTTTAAGCATTTTTCAATAAGAATATTTTCAGTATAGCGAGTGAATGCAAAATGGAACAAATATAATAATATATCCAAAGTATTAATAGTTCTTACTTCACACAAATTCATTTTTATTTGAGTAAAAAAAAAATGCTTATTAATGACATAATCTCAAGTAATTACTTCTATCGACTATAAGGTAAGAGTGTTACAACTTTTTTCTGGATTGAGAATTTAAAATTAAGAACATCTCAAACTGTACTTAAACAGGTTTTTTATTTCAGATTGTAGTTTTTTAATAATCAGAAAACTATGACTTGTTGATCCGTGAAACTTAAAAAAAATAAGTTGTTGGGAAAAATGAGTTGAGGTTTTGTGCTTTTTTTCAATTCAGAAACTGGGTGTAAGTGTTTTACTCCATTGCTAAGTTTTTTGAATTGCGAGTTAAATATATAGTAAACAAAAATTAATGCGCGGGACACATGACCCTAGTTTTTCAAGTCAGAATATCAATTTAGTGACATATATTTTCTTCGCTAATAAATCAAATGAACAGTAGATTGTTTTAAATTGACCGCTTCACCACATCATATGTCCGGGCAGACTCTCTTGAGTACCGTTAGCAACGACATCGCGTTTGTCTATGGCGATCGATATTATATATTACCTGTTTTTGTTACGAATGTTTGTTTATGAGGTGCTTTTTCTTTGTTAAAATTGGTAATCATTACCAAATTATAACTACCAAGTTGTCTTTGAAGTAGATTATGCGTGAAAGAGTAACAAACATACATACATTTTCACAAATTTTGCATTTATAATGTTAGTAGGAGATGCTTAGAACCTCACTTAAGCAATGCACTTTTCTCCTTGGTTGCTACTTGTTTGGTGTCGCTCAAACATTTAAAATTGGCTGATTTATAGTTTACGCAGTGGAGGACTAAGAGGGGCATGGGCGGAGAGGGCAGGAGTGGAGGGACTGCACCTATCCGCCAAAATTATAACAATAGAATAAAGTTAAAAATGTATGCGGGGGGTGAATACGCAATATCAAGTTTCTGCTCTAGTTGGAAAAAGTGTTCAACCTGGACCAATTGCCGCTTCGGGCCTCCGATGAGGTTAGTCCGCCACTGAGTTTACGCGCCCTATTAACTACAAATTATTATTGTATTGTATATAGAATTGCTTATGTATGAGTATAATTAGTTGTAACAGGCATCAGCGATCAACGAACAAAATTAGGTTTAAGATTTATTATATTTTATAACTTTAATAAGTTTGTGGAGAGAAATAAGTCTTTATTATTATATTATAACTTGTCTCTAAAAAAAATAAGCCGAGTTAAATACTATTAGTAGTCTATTACCATTTCTTTGTCGACGGTATCTCGTATGTAGGTAACGGTTGTTGAAGGCTAGTAAGTAGGTAATAATTGTAAATGTAAGAGATATTAGTTTACTAGCTTAGTAGCAATGACTTTATATACTGGCTTGAAAATCTAATCGTGTCTTGGGTATTAAGGTAAAATAATTTCGAGACTTTTGTAACATTCCAATGATTTTAAATAAATGATAAATCTATATAGACAATCTCGTATTTGGAGTTCAGTAGAATGAGCCATGTCAAGATTTGGTATACTTAATTTTTTAAATAATTATAAGTTTTATTATTGGGCTGTTTGCGATTTTGTAATTCGTTTTGCACCACGATTAGGTGGACCCTTTGGTTTAGCGAATGCGGGCCGGTGAAGATTCCTCTTCGGATGTATTTCGTCGTAGAGAAACTCGTCTGTCAGTTCTTTCCCGTCATCAATTTCGAGCTAAAATATCAATAAATCAATCAAAGAATGACAAAAAGGCATTTTTATCCTACAAACACATAAGACATAGCAGTTCTGCAGTGCGTCAGGCATGTATGTGTGTACGTAAGAAAATTGCGTCCTTACTATATATACATATATACAGAACACGCATCGGTACCAACATTATCCTTCATACAATAACTGGAAAATGGGATAGACCCTTTTCATACGCTGCCCGAGTACTGATGAAATAGGAAATTATTCCATCAATATTCCATCCCATATGAATTATTTGAGTGTTGTACAGCTACCATAAGTTAAGTTCATACTAACAATGATATGGATCTTGGATGTCCGAAATAAAAATTTATTATTATTATAACATTAAGTAATACTTAAATTAAAACAGTAGCTCGGTGGTCTAGTGGATAAGCGCAGCGATCGTTGTTGTTAAGCAACTTTCGCAATGGTCGGTCACGGGATGGGTGACCAAAAAAAAAATATCTCGAGCTACTACGTGCTTCGGAAGGTACGTTAAGCTATTGGTCCTCGGCTGCATTTGTAGTCGTTAATAACCTCCAATCCGCATTGGGCCGCGAGGGCCATGGTCCATCCTCCTTAATCATTCATAAGGAAGGCCTGACCCTCTGCAGTGGGGTCGTAAAAGGGCTGATGATGACTTAAATAAAAATGGGCAAAATATAACATTAATCGGTATTTTTTTATTGTTACTTACTCGTTTCGCAATTTCGACGCCCATCCTCTCAATTATGTCTAAGAATTGTCCTTTACAGCTTGAATACATCATACGCTCCTTTATACTGCAGTTATATCCAGGCATTGAATATATGAACACTGCAATGCAAAATATCTGCCAGTCTTGTCAGTTGCACAAATGACTATTAAGGTTCAATGGCGACTTTAATGTATGTTCTAAATTTTAAAAAATTGGGCGTTTTTGCAACTATATGATAGTCATTGAAAGTAATAGAATAATTGAAAGATAGAATTATAAAGAAAAATGTGTTTTAAAGTGGTTCATAGACCAGGAGTTGGCAACTTTGAGATGGACGAGCCTAAATAAAAAATACAAATTGAAGCCAATGAAAGATTACGTTCCAATATAATTCATATTATATTTGAGATATTATTTAAAATAAATAACTGAATATCTATCTCTCAGTCGTAATCGTACTGAACCATGGATTGATTACAGTAAACATACTACAGAGCCGCAATTTATATAGATAGATTCGCAGGTTGCGTACCTTAACATATAATTTGTTTTAGTGTTGATAAATATCACGCTCATGATATGAAACGGTATAATGGAAAAGTCCTTAAAGACTTTTTATATGATGGAAAAGTTTGTGGTAAATAACTGAAGCGTTAAGCCATACGTGGTTTCTGGCACAGTTAATCAAAATCGTAGATCTGGACCTGGTAAATAATATTATATATATAATGGAATGTCATCAATGATTACGTCGTTGGATAGCGATCAAATTGTGTGGGCGCATCTCATTGATAAACGACTAATCAATGAAAATGAGCTGCAGAAATCGTCCGCATTCAGACTCACTTGACCAATGTAAACAGGCAATAGGGAATATGCGTCTAATTCAAAAAAAGGGTTAAATATATTTTATTACGATCGTTATTGCTTTAGAACAAAGTCTGTGTAAATATTTTTCTACATTAGTTCATTTTTATCTTGAAAATAATAATTAAAAAGTGCAAAATAAATGCGGTAAATTCAAAATATTTAAACGCCATGCCACTTGTCAGAGCGGATGTGACGAAAATGTACACGTATAGGGATGTCATTGTTACAAAAAGTTAACATCGATGCAATAACATCAATGTATTATGTCGCAAAATAAACAACAGATTACAATTTAAATGGTGTTTTAGGCTTTTATTTTTATTTTTGTAAATTATATGATTCATTAAAAAAGTCTATTATACTTTAATAAATTGATTAGTTGTTAATCGATTTGGGTAATTGAATAATAATCAATCACTCAAAATCCATATTGATTTAAAATGTCATATCTCTAGTCGTGTACTTTGACGTCACGACGAGCGCCCCAAAAATTCCGGTGTTTAAACTGCTCATAGGTATTACTTATTTTCATCGATTATTAATGTTACAAAATTGTAGTTTTTCGGTGCCGGGTATTTTTTTTACATTTATATATCGATGTAAATTATCATATGAAAACATTTTCCAAAAATGTGCATATTCCCTATTAGTGACACTCACCAACGCTAGCGAGATGATCACTCTCATGCGTGTGATCGAACACGTAGAGATGGTACCGCGCCTGATCGTTAGGCACTTGTGACGGTAAATCTCCACGTTGTATCTCTGCCGCTTTGGACAGGTGTATCTTTTCTTCTTCTAAATCTGTCAAAGATAACAAAAAAGTTTTGTTGTTTAATATTCTCGTAATTTGCAAATCTGGAGCACCGTACACCATTCGCTTGCGAAAGCGAAACAATTGCGAAACTATTGCGAATGCGTAACGTCTGCATCTGTGTTTTCGTAGTTGCCTACGAAATAATTAGGAGAGTGTAATACGGACGCAGGGTAAATCCGGACACATTGTTTCTGACAGGGCTAGTATTTCGTCAAGCTAAAAATAGAACGAGACAAACCACAAGCCAAACATTGTCTTACAAATGACAATATTTTGGTTGTTTCGCTTTCGCATGCGATTCCATTGGTGTGCTGACGGTGTAATTAGAAGAAATATGTATAGACTCGTGACAAAAATGTGCAAGAGCTTTCTAAAGCTTGATTATATTAGAAGACTTAGGGTATACAGTACTCAGTACCTAATCCGGTCAGGCGATTGAACAACAGATGACTCTCTATGACCTTCCACATTGCCCCAATGCGGATTGGAGGGTATTAACGACTGCAAATGTAGCCGGGACTAACGGCTTAACGTGCCTTCCGAAGCACGGAGTATTTTTTTTTTGGTCACCCATCCCGTGACCGACCTTGTGAAAGTTGCTTAACGACTACGATCGCGGGCTGCAGCGCTTATCCACTACGCCGCCGAGCTACTCATATATATTTTTATATATAAGGTTTTCGCTAATAATAACCTATTAAAAAGCATCTTTAATACGTGTTACGATTTTTTCGTACTTTACATTGACTTGTCGCCACCAGGTGTTCCAGTACCTGACCTTCGCACTGGGTTCTGAGTATACCCATATTACTTTATTATACTGAAATATCAAGCTTTAGAAAGCTCTTGCACATTTTTATCATAGCTTCCAACAGTTTGTTGCGCAAACGACCATTAAAATTGTCATTACGATTTTAATTAAGCGACATTACACATACAAATTTAACATTCATTAGAGCTTAAAGTCGTCTTTAAACCTTAATGGACGTTTGTGCAACTGACCATAAGAGAAAGATGACAAAATTATGACAAAATTTCTGGGTATAACAATTGATGATCAATGTAACTGGAAAATACATATAGACTCAATGATGCTTAAACTTGACAGATTTGTATTTGTGCTAAGAAGAATAAGAAAAACTGTATCTAAAACTGCAGCTATAACAGGCTATCATGGATATGTAGCATCATTGTTGCGGTATGGCATTATTTTATGGGGAAACTCCGTCGATAGTGACAAAGTCTTTAAGTTACAAAAAAAATGTATAAGATCTATATGTGGTGCTGGATTTTTGGACTCGTGTAAGCCACTTTTTAAAAATTTGAATATTCTTCCTTTGCCTTGTCTATATATTTACGAAATAGCTAAATTTGTAAAGAGGAATATGGTTCTGTTTGAAGTGAATGGTAATAGCTGTAATTATAGGGGTAGATTTATAGATAAATTATGTGTGCCACCACAAAGATTGACCCTTTATTCCAAAAATGCTTTTTGTATGGCTATACGTATTTATAATAAGCTGCCAAAACACCTCACTGACATGACTTTGACGAAATTCCAAAAACATCTGCATGAATATTTAATAAATAAATTGTATTATAATATTAATGACTTCTTAATGGATAAAATTGATAATTAAATTTAAATTTAGATGACATTTAATTTGACATTTGTAATGATAATTGTAAATGGATTATTATGGTTGAATGGTTAATTATTAATTATTGATATCATCTTAACTGAAACATTATTCTCTGTTTTTATGTAATGACATTTAAAAATAAAAATATTTGCACACTGTTCATATACTGTAGAATATGAGAAACTATTGTTAATAACTGTGTAACATCATGTGTACCATATTCTCGCAAATAAACATTTATTATTATTATTATTATTATTATTATAAGACATTTTTTATATTCATTATATTATTTTCAGAACCTTCTCTTGGTTACATAATCGTTTTTCTCTGAAAAGGGTCAGAGACCTGTAGTTTAAGACTAACATCAGTATCATTAAATAGAATTTTATAATAATATGTAACTATTGTCCTCATCAGCTCGTTAATGTCCCCACAGCTGAAACAACGCGGGTTTAATTGACCGCATATGCCATCATAGGGCCCAACACCCTAGCGTGCCTTCTGGAGCACTAGCTCGAGATAATATATGAGATATAATGAGTCTTATCAATATAGCTGGAATGTTTTAAGAATAGTGCCATTTCACGATCCACTAGCCACTCTCTGGCTCGTTCATAACAAATTTCAAACGTTTCAATTCTTAGTTAAAATTAGTAGGTGTGCTATGCATAAACGAAGATACATTATGTGTCATATAAGTTATATTTTACTATAGGTATAGATTAATTGTTTTTTTACCACTTTCTTACCTATTCTAAATTGTAAATAATTGTAGGAACCACGTTTGAGATCATTTATACCCTGTTCCGCTGCTTCCGTTATTGGAAATGCTACTCCACCCATTGTTGATTGCCTGTAAACCACATAATATTAAAATTAAAAACACTATTTTCAGTTTTTGTATGTAAGTTTGTATATATAATAACAATAAGAATGCTTATTTCTTTAATTTAAAAACTTTAAAAAAGTCGTGGTCGTTGTAACTGTGCCGTTTATCCAAACTTTTTGTCTTCGATCTTTAACATAATTTCTTTTTTATTTACTTTTCGTAAAAAATTGTTCCGGCAACAACACTATCATCATTGGAAATTAATAAAATATTTATACTATGTACATTTAAAATCTATGCTATGATTTATTAGTTATATTTATGAAGCTTATGTGATCTAATAAACCCAAGAGAGGGTTTTTTTTTTTATTAATTAATTTATTTATTCGTTCGCGAAACAACAGCATTGAGTTACACTAGAATATACATAATTCAATTAAGTTACTACTTAACTGTACTCAGTTGCCTAGATACTTTCCATACCACTTATCAAGCCTAGTCAGCCATTTTATTTTCTAACCAACTACAAGCACCGAACCCATGACATTGTAATCGCTATAACATGTCAATTGTAGTGTGAAGACTAAATGCCAAATTTAAAGGAATTGTAATAAATTTTAAAATTTGACAATTACCCCTGATTATTGTCATGTCTTTCATAACAAAAATGAATATTTACATAAAAAATCAAAATAGGTACTTTTATTTGGCTGATATAAAGAGTGATTTGATGTTTTTGATCTGTTGTAATATACACAGAGCAGCACATCAAGTTAAAAACTTCATAGTAAAAATTAATCAAACCAAGGAGTTCTACCATTATGACATAATTTTTGTGAATATACCTGGAGTCAGTGCCATAGTTTGTGTTATGTTCTGTCTGTTGTAATTCCTTTAATGCCTCTTCTCGGTCTGTGAGTGGAGCTGGAGCGCTAATACCGCTTAGATGCGCTTTATATCCTTTTAAACATACTTCTTCCTAAATATAATAAATAATGATTATCATTAATTAAATAATTAAGCATTTTAAAACATATTAAATTGAATCAATGGCATCAGCAAGCAGGCAGGATGGGATAATTGACATTAGACTTGCATATGTTAAGTATGTTTCATGCCTTTTAACCTAAATATTATATTGATTTAAAGTCCTACAAAGCTTAAGGTAATGCTCTTGTATTGATCTTGTTTCCTAGTGAAATTGACTATATTAAATTGGCTAACATTCCTCAACACTCTTTTTAAACATAAATTCTAACATTATCATTAATAACGAAACTATTCAAACTAATTGATAACCTTCTATTTTCACAACCAAAGCAAACAAGCTATAAATTGTATAAATTTGCTTTCCACTATTTGTATGTGTAGATCTTTTAAACTATACAACAATTATAATATGGTTTCCTTCAATATACAGATTGATTCAAGATTAAGGTTTATACGCATAATACAGGTCCATGTATTATAAATGTGTCTATAAATGTGTTGATTTAATAAGAAAACAATATAAAAATATTTTTATTACCTTAACAGTTGCATGCATTTCATCTTTGATATGAGCAGAGCCAAATTCTTGTTTCAAAGTGGCCTTTGTGGATGCATACAACATTTTTTGCCTAACTGGTGCACTATCAGGTGACCAACTAAGCAGTAACCAATCATGTCCAAGAGAGTTTGTTGTATCTAGTCTAGAAAAAATGGTACAAGCATAAATAAGTAAAGAAGAATGGCGAAATCAGACCCCATAATTTTCAAAACCGTACATGGATGGCAATATGACAAATAAATAATATATGATTAATAGATTTTATTTCTACAAAATGGTGAATTTTAATGCCGGGGAACCAAACTAAAATATTAAATGCTGCTAATAAAATTATCAAGATAACAAAACGTCTGACGATAGTGCAAAAACAAAACGCGAAAATCTTCTTAAAAAACGTTCTGGTCTACGCAGAAGTGCTTTAATAAAAAAAAATATATCTTGGAAGTGTTTCATGAATTTTACACCAGGCAATAAAAGGGTCATCCATTTTAATGGATATTATAGTTTCCTGTAAATTGCAATTAATTCTATTGCTTTTAAAGTACCATTAATACGCTTAATAATCAAATATAAGTTAAAAATAAGATTGTATAGAATAGATTCCGTTGTCTTTAATTGAAAACCACAAAATATGTCAAAGGGTTGTAGTTTGGATAATTTTTGAAAAATCGGTCACATACATCAACGATGTCAGAAGCGATTCTCAATTAATCGCATGTTCTATAGAATATTATCTGTCATTTACGTAATTTCCTGCTAATAATAAGTGATATGTGATGTAATGATGCGCACAGACTAAGCGAATGAACGTCAAATATATATCTATTCAATAAAAAAACTTAATATGTTATATTATATGAAATACGGTCTTTGAATACTTTCATAAATATTTATTTTATTCGTTCTAATTACGTATTGAATACTTGAGAAATAAAAAAGTTGAAAGCTTAGATACCACAACCGATTTAAGAAGATTATTGCCAGTTCCCCAGTTGATCCGATGAAAGGTTAACGTATCTTATTTTGTTCTAAATAATCGATTAGTTGATTCTATTTTGACATGCTTGTTTTCATCTATGAATGGTCTATGATGATGATGGTGAAATGATAGTGGATGATTGGTTTGGTTTGTTTATTGTGTGTTTGTTCGTGGAGTTTTATATTTATGTTAATATTCAACTTGACAATTACGTGTGTTTCTTCGACTAACGTTGATATTTGCATTACTTTTGGATTCCGAATGGCAATTGATTCGGTTATAACAATGACAGATCAATGTGTACATTGCCCTTATTTGTCACTTTCAGTGTAATGATTTAATTAAAGGCAATGGGATCTACTCCACACAGTCTAGTCGTATGTTATAAATGTTTCTTCTATTATAAGTGTCTGAATCTTGTTAGATATGTAATTATTTTAATCTAGTTTATTTAACGGAATAACCTGGTTACCATTTTCATTTATTTTAACGTCCATTCAACGAAAAAGCAAAGATGCAATATTTAACCTCGCAAAGTATTTTATGCCATATCTTTTTAATCCCAACTTTTAAAGGAAAAATACGATGAGGATTTTGTTAGTTTATCTTATACCTACAAGTACACGTTTATTTCATTCATGAACGGGACTTTAAAAATTCAGGTCCAGAACTATATGGGAGTTCGCCATTGTTCTTTAGACTTTATTTTGTAAGATTTTAAATTTGATGTACTGGAGTCAATTATGGAGGATAAATAAATTGATTGTTCAATTTTTACGTCAGTTTTCATTTTGTGTTAGCTGAACATAGTTTTCTATTCCAAATGCTAAGGTAAATGTAACTTTTTATGATCCAATTTTTCATATATATACCTACATCTTATATGTATGTTAGCAAAGGTCCTTTTTCTCAGATCTTTTTTTTGCATGTTTACATATTTAAATTACATTATACTAATTATGTAATATACTACAACACATAAATAAACAAATATATAAACACATATTAACAGTGAAGAGTTTATATCTGCAAACATTTTTTATGTATTTAAATTTGAAAAACATAATTCTTAAATTCAAATTCTTATGATTAGTGCAATAAATGAAATTTTAGCCAAACTGACTTAAATACATATTCACAATCAGAATCATGACCTTTACTAATATTTCCTTCTTAGATGTTTATTCTTCTATTCTAGTAGTAGTTTTATACTCTTATGATTGTTATAGATATACACAAAACAAAAATAAATAAAATCTTTAAACTAAACCAAGTTATTGATCTAAACAAAGTTATTGCATTCTTCATAAGAAAGGCAGATTCATCAATAATATCATAAAAATTAAATGTAAGATAAGCATACCTGTACAAAATGTAACAAGGTTGATCATCAACAATCAATGTTGGCACATATTTGTCAAAATCATGTTCCCAAGATCCTTTGACTGCATAGTGTTTTGATAAAGTCAGTTGTTCTGAAATTGATTTTTTAAAATCTTTTTAATCAATTTTTGATATAGAGTCAGGCAGTCACTATCTATATAGGGCATAACTTGGAATTAATTATTTGAACACTTTGTCATACATATTCAGTTTTCTCCTCCACAAGATACAATGTGGATGTCACATCTTCTAATGTAGTTTTATCCTTTAAGTAACTATGAATTAAAACAAATTTTATCTAGAAAATCACATCAAATTCGTCAATTACAGAATGTGAATAACCAAAATAATATTCTTGGTTACTAGTTCTTTGTGGATCATTAATGGAGTGTGCTGCATATTTGTAACATAAACTGTAAACTAACCATTTTCTATGCTGACTTTCATAACACGAAGTTTTCCATCTCTACACTTTCCAAAATATTTCTTCAGTTCTGCATTTGCTGTGAAAATTCAAATGAAGTGTTTGTAATATCATTTTAACAAATCTATATTGTATGTATTTATTACAGTTGCTAGTGGTAAGCCTTTTGTTCATATATTAGCAATATAACCGTGGTTTTGTGTCTTGTTATCTATTTTTAGGTATTGAATGTAGAATGTGGGTGTTAAATTAATAACTGTAAAATCTAGATCTCGATACCTTGTATTCCTGTCTGGTGAGACATATTGAATATGCGCTATGAAAACTTATAAAATGTTTCGTTTGCTAGATTATAATAAAAAGCTACTGTTAGTAGTAAAATACATTAAATTTGTAAAGGAAGCAAAATATTTCACTGATTCGGCGCAAAACCAACCGACAATCCCAGTTGTTACGTCAATGTCTAAGAATCAAAATGTCAACGTCAACGTCTTTCTTATTTTTATAATGGCAATATATTACATTCGTGGAGGAATAAAGTGAGCTACACTGAACGTAATAGTCACTGCCTTTTTTATCGTTAGATTAAATACTTGGCTTTATAGGACCAAACCAAATAAAAAATAGGGTTTGGGCCTTCATGAGCTTATTTTCGACACAAAAAACGGCTTCTCGTGTCGACAAATCAAGACCTACTCGTATGTTGATAAATAAAAAAGTATAGAGCTTTGGGGCGTTGCAAGTAAATTGTTTACATAAGCCGTAAAATTAGATACTCGCTATTAATATTCATACCGTAACCTTTTCAATATACCAACTTGTCATTTTTCTTCAATGCAGTTGTGAGCAGTGCAGTTTAAGAGAGGAAACGTTACCCTATCTCACACCTCGCAGCAAAGGGATGCTGTCTGGGTAAAAAGTTAGTCCGTCAGTACATAATAAACAGACTTGTGTTTAGAAGTCCACCAGATAACTGCAAAAACGAATAAATGCTCACCAAATTGTGTTTTATGAAGTATTATAGAACCGAATCTAATTTTATTGCATACCATAAAAATATGTAAATGTTGATAAAAGTTAACTTTAGGTCAAATATTTTATATTATCGCTAAATATATAATACCAATATTTAATTTTATGACTTTTGAAGGATATTTGATGTTACAATCACACATAAAAATTCGGGAGTCGAACCCGATATTAACGTTCAATTTAGACAGCACAAAACGACACAGTTCACGAGAAAGAAAAGAAGCACAAGCGCTAAGAATGAAGGATATATTGATTACACACAGAATAGAATTGTATTACATGAAAAGAATTATTATGAATTAGTAGAAATTTGCAAATTATTAAATATTAGGAAATGACGGTCATGCGCAAGCAAAGCTATATGCAGTGTAGTTCTTGTTCGGCCGACGGCGCGACGACGCGAGCAGGCACGTAAGCGAGCGCGTGCGATAAGGATGCGCATACGCCCGGCGAGCGACGTAATGCGTGACGTAAGTTTTTGGGGGAAATTGAAGGGCGTTTGCTTAAGTATAAAATTGGAGCGGATAGCACGCCACACCTACATTTAATAATTTTTGCAAAAAAAAAAAAAACTGTTGCCCGTATATGTTTTTTAATACCAAATATAATATTGTGTACTCCAAACAGAAATTACTTGTTTATTGCTTTTGGAATTTAATTAAAATATGATAAATTAGATAAATATTTCATTATCAACTACTGCAACTCATAATGACTGAGGTTGGTAATAAAACAAATCTAGACGGGAAAATAAGATTAATTTGTACTCAAGCATAATCAATGGCACTTTACTGTAGTACTGTTTCAGGAATGCAGGACAGTTGCATCTATCAGATTTCCAATCATCACTGTTGATTGGTGTTATTACTTCCTATACAATGTTGCTCAAAATAGTCGAAACTTTCCCATTCGACATCGAAAGCTTTACACTCCATGTTCTCACCGGCTGGAATCCTGTAGTATGTCACTGATCCAGTTGTCTGTTTGACCGGTAGACTTTTTTGGCAATATAGCCCGTTGGTACGCTGCAGTCCATTGTTTGAGAGTAATGGTGTGTTGTTGGGAAAATGACTTATTGTTTGTTACACATAATTGTGAGACCACTCTGTTACCATATCTTTTGCTAACATTAAGAAACGTGACAATGAGTGACGCGCCCGCAAGGTATTTTCGTCTTTTATGGTTCGATTAAATGCTTCAAACTCATTTTTAGTTGTCAGAGTACATGGAAGGGCATCTAAATACCAATTGTGATTCATAATTAGCCTGTCGTCTTGGAAATATTTAATGAATTCCTTCTGATCTTTCCACTTCGCCAAGAAACTTTCTTACGCACGGTCGAAGACATCAGACGATGATGAACACTGTAGGTAAACCATCTATAAACAATGCAAACAAATTGTTTGTGCAATGATTTATCTGACGATTTTTCAACTCGTCTTTGAATGTTTTTTTTGATATGCCCAACACATGCTTATCATAACATCTGCTCCAAAGACTTTTGAGAACGAAATTTGTATGCTTTTTGCAGCATCACCTTTGGAGTCAAATGTTCATTGTGTATAGCAGAAACACTGTCTTTGAGTGACATAAATAAAAATGTAAACTCAGTAGTTTGCTCTGAAGATTTTATGCTTAAAAATAAATGGGTGAAAGCTTTTGTCACGATCAGTTATTCCAACAATGAGTTCTGTTAGTTTTAAGTGTTGGTTTTACGCTAACGCGTTCACTAGTGAGCGCGTTAAGAATTTGTATGAAGATTTGTAGTTCTTGGTAGTTACCGCTAGGGGCACTGTACCGGATTCCATACTAAAATCTTAACGCGCTCACGATCGTCAGTGAACGTAAACGTCAAAAAAACTTACACTAAGTATTTCAATTTCAGAAGGTGTGAAATGAAAAACTATAGTTTAAATAACAATTGGCACACGGACAGACTAATACATACAATCGTATGGAGAAACATATAAACATACTTTTTTTCTTTAATTTTACAAGACATGACTTATATGTAGGTATATATGCATTTAATAGATATTAGAATGTGTCCTATTCTGTTGTTGATTATTTTTTTGTAATTTTAGTAAATAGAGTCGGATTGTGAATTTAATTGGCATTAATTTTTATTCCGAATCCTAAGTGTTGTCTTCGTAATTAAGCTAATAAGCACAATCAATTCTGTTATATCTGTTATAATATAAATGATACATTTATAACAGTTCAGAGATAGTTTGTATACCTAATTCTAATGTAAAAGCTAATATGTAGATAGCTAAATGTTTCACCAAAATACTATATCCAGGCGTGTTTTGATGCAAATACGGACTGGTACCTATTCAAATGGTAAGCATTTCAAGCTGCACCTTTTGGCGTTACCTACCCGACTGTTATACTGTAAGGAGGTTTTGAATGCAAATGAACTTGTTCCATAAGATGTAGACAGTATCTCGTATTTAAATAGGACTAATAAATAAGTTTTATTTAGGCAATAATTTTAAAATAATAGTTTTTACTCCAGCAATTGGTTTTATACAGGTTGAACAGACATTAAGTAAATATATTTTCATTTTCTAAAGACATCTAATGAATACAACCAGGGATGTTAGGGAGCTTTGAACCGTAACCAAAACTTTATTTTCGAAATAAAATATTATCCATATCCGTAACCGTAACCGGAATAAAAGTTTCGGATGATTACGGATAGAGGCTGAATCTACATGATATATGACAGTTTTCTATACCTGGCCAAGCCGACACACCAGCCATGCGCATTTCTTTTAGATACTCGCAATTTTCAAAGTACTTTAACGAAGGCGTAAGAGATTTGCGATAATCAAATATCAAATATCATGAAAAATATGAGTTTGGTAAGTGAAGAATGTTCCCAACATAGAAAATAAGACACCAACCAAGCTTGCAGATAGAGGTCTTATGAACTCTAATTATATAATACAATAATTAGCCTTTATTTTGAATTTTGAGTATATAGTCTTGAAAAAGTTCAGTGTGCCTCTTGATAAATTAATATAAGACAACATCACATACATTGCTCAGATCCCAAGATGAGTAGCTGAAGCCCCCGTATTATAGAGTATCTGAGACAACGAACGTGCTAACACAACCAGATCTGATACAACATAGAAAAGTCCATTTTCTACATAACCCGACCGTGAATCAAACCCGGTGTCTCAGAGATGGCGACACCTTCAAACCAGCGTGCGAAGCTCTCAGCTTTACGGAGATCGGAGATCTCTTTTTCTATATTATTGTCAGGGAGTTCTACATTATTATAAGGACATTAGCTGTAACACGCGGCTGCGCTCACGTGGTCCCGGCTGTGCGCACACTGGCCTGCCACACTGGAGTGTTAAACTAATCTTATTTAAAATTTTGTCAGTAAGCATCCACCTTTATATAATCATCATTAGCTTATAACAGTCCTCACTGCTGCGGCACAGCCTGCACAATAGATGAAACCAAATATAAAAAAAATCTATCGGTGTTTCTGTGGATAACGCGCATATCTTCACGCAATAGACCAGTTGCTCTTTTTTATATTTTACTGCGCAGTAGAATCGACACGTCTTGCAAGAAAATATATAAAAAAATGTTTTCTTCGAATTAATAGTCCTTTTATTGAAGTTGTTTAATAATTACGCCGTTATTTTACTTGGATCTAGTTAATTGACTACTGTGCGTATTCTGGATTTCCATTTTAAGGGTATAAAACAGATTGTGCAAGATACCACGCATGATCCTTATAGCAACTTGATGGTCAGCGTGTTTTTGCTCTCTCAATTCAGAATTTTCAGAGATTCTAGTGTGTGACGCCAAATTTAATGTTGCCACCGTTATAGAAAAAATCCAGTTTCGTCCACTAATTATTCAGTATTTTTTTGGCCCAATTTATTATTTAACTCCTGATACGTTGAATTTTAGATAAAACTATATCCTACCATAAGTAACTTATTTCAAGTATTCTTTGATTTTTAGTCATAATTATGGGCAGTCTAGTATATTTCTCGGAAACATAACTAAATACCCTCGATTGTGTATACCGTGGGTGTTTAGTTATGTTTCCGAGTGAATTCAAAGGAGTTCTTCGAAATTTTCGAGATTTCGAGAGTTAAATACATCACTCGACTATTACCCGCAACTTGGTAGAGCTGACTGTGAATCTATTTAAGTGTGATAATTTTTCTATTTAATTCATTATAAATATTATTGCTGTAGAGTTTAAGATTCTAACAACATCCAATTAGTTGGTAAAGGCCCCCCACTTTAACTAAAATTGGCACTTTGAAGCATATTTTAATAAGTTTAGTATACCTAAATCAAAAAACGATCTTCCCACACCCCTAATATTTTTGAAAAACCTAACCAATGATACCCCGCGTTATGGGAAGATAAAAAAATC